TACTTTGGCTGTTTGGATAACTGAGGACACACCTGCTGCTTCCAGTCTGACAAGGTGCACTGACTCCCACAGAACAGCACAGCAAGAGTTTCTTTCTCCACCTACATCTGTGACTGCCTCCCAGCTTATGTGTTTATGCAGCACCAACTACCAACACATGTATGATCTGCTTCTACAGAAAGAGACAGAAATGAGGTGATGCACAGCTGAAAATCTGAAAGCTGGTTATCTCATAGTAAGGCAGGGGGTGACTCAGTGACAAGCCAAGGACACTCAGACACCCACATGGCTGATCTGCACCTTCCAGACCACATGGGAGGACCATCCTCCAACTCAGTGTAGAGGACCCTTCTCAAGATAAAATCTTAACAATACATTTACATGTATTACAAAGCCAGTGGGCCTCCCACATCAGAAGGCATGTCCTGAATCCTTAGGTGAAAATTCCTCCCTCCACCCACTGTCAGAGATTGAGCCACACGGTGCTGGTCTAAATGGTCCTGTCTGTCATGGACAGAGATAACATCACCTATTTAAACTGAAAGGTGCTTCAGCTCTACTTACACAGAGCATGTCAGGAGTTTTTAGGAGGAAAGCTGCAAGCAAAGTGCAGTATGAGTCTAAGAACAGTTGTGCATGGGTGTTAGACAAACATGTCTTCAGCTACTGTGGGACCTGGCGACTGGCAGGGAGAAACTCTGCAAGTGGTGCCTGGACAGATTTCAAGAGCTGAAGCACAGCAGGCTGATTACCAGCCCTCAGCTTCCCATCTGAGACCAACTGGGAAAGGTCAGAGCTGCTGCTGATAGGCCAGACACAGGGAATTAATTTAAGTGTCTGGCAAACACCTTCACCAAAACATGCTGAAAATTTTGCTATTTGAAGCAGCTCAGCAAGCTGAGTCTGTTATCCCGCTTGAAGCAAGGAGCCCATGTGTTGCAGTAGCCAGCAAACACACCAACTATACCTACAACCTACAACACACTATGGCAAGGGAGCAGGGTCACCTCAGTGGTCACCAGGGACATCACATGTGGGACGTGCAGTTCATGCAGCCCCAGCACAGCCTGTGTCACAGCACTGCCATGACACTGAGAACACCTCGTGGGGAGCCAGCTGTGGTTCAGAAGATGCAAACATGCCCCAGTGGTTCTCTCTGCTTTAGCTTATTTCTAAGTTCTCATCAAAGAAGCCATTTCACAGGAACTTTCTCCAGTCTGTTTATGACCCAGATTCTGTGGTTTTAATTCTGTATCTTCAGACTTGAATCACAAGACAAAAATAAACTGATGGAATAAAATCCACACCTTCCCTCACTGAGACACTCTCACACACACTCCTCATGTGAAAGCAGAGCAATGCTTCAGAAGACTTGATGGCACGAGCAGTGCTGCAGGCATCCTGCTCCTTATTAAAAAGGCACAGGGAACCTGAGCACACACAGGAAAATGAGAACAAACAGCCCTGCTGCCAGTACACTCTGCAGCTGCGGGAGAAGCAGCTGCAGGGACAAGTTGTGTTTACACAGATAAACCCACTGCTGGGAAAAGGTAAAGACTAAGGGATCTGAAAAAGAGGGGAAGGGAAAATATTGCCTCTGTGGCTTCAGGTGGTTCACGGTGTGTCACACGGACACAGCCAGTCATGGATGATGCTGAGGGTGGCCTGTCTCTCCGTGTCTCCTAAAAGAAACGTTTAGCAGCCAGGTTCTTTATTCAGAAGTCAGTTCTAGCGCTGGCGACGTGCCAGAGGCAGCAGCAAGATCAAGGGAGCTCAGTGCCTTTCACAACCAGGGCCAAGGCCACGGGCTCCCGCGGGTGCGGGCCG